ACACACACACATACACACACGTATACTATATATGTTGTTGTTGACCTGCAGAGCCAGTCGATCTTGAAGACTCCTCCCAGCATCTTAGCGTTCATACCAGCAGGAAGGACCCAGTGGATCGGAGACCCTCCGTGTTGAGACTCTGACGCCAGACGAGCAAAACCTGAAGGACCAATGGAGGCTGATGAGTTCACAACGTTTAAACGTCTGGACGACAATAAGCCATGTTTGATAATGACGTTGTTAATTGATCCTTTAGTTTTATGACCTTGGAACTTGCCGCTCTCCCTCACAGAGAACACGAGGACGACGCTCCGAGCCGATCGGAACGCTGCGTTCAGCTTCTTCTCGTTCACCGGCAGCGTCGACCAAACGCCCTGAAGATCAAAGCAATCGTCGTGACGACAAGAAGTCAGACGTTTAAGAATGAGGCGTGTAAACGTTAGCGTGTAAACGTTAGCGTACCTTAGCTTTCGCCAGAGACACGTTCTCGTGGTTGTTGCTCTTTATGAGGAAGAACCGAGCGTCTCGCAGGACGTATCGAAGCTTACTGGTGGGATCTGAAACAATACAGGAGTAATCTGATTACTTTAAAGAAAACTAGCCAGCTGTAACCTGATTACTTATTAGAATAAAAACTGAATGGATTATGACTAAAGAGATTAAATTAAAAGATGTTTACACTAAATCTGCTGGAATACCAAAACTATGAACCAACATGTTTAAAGTTAATCATGTTCATTATTAATTATTATTCATCATTATTAAAGATGGCCGCCTTACTCTCCATTCCTTTGCGAACAGCTCGGACAGATGACGACAGCTTCTCCTGTTTCTTCTCTGAACCTTTCAGAATAAAAGCAAAGAATTAAATCACAGCAACAAAAAGGAGAGAAAACAGAGTGGCGGACATTTTTTTTCGGGTCTTAATCTCTTCATGTAAGAACTGACGTTGTTGTCGTCACGGTTACCTGAGGCTTCGGAGGCGGAGCCTGAGTGCACCGACTCTCCGTCGTCGGTGAAGCTGACGGAGGAGGCAGAGCGCGAGTCGCCGGCCTCGCTGCGAGTGTCGTAGTCGTTTCCCTCGCCGCGACGCTCGTACTCCTCTTCCTCGTCCTCCTCCTCGTCCTCCTTCTCTCCTTCTTCCTCCTCGTCATCCTCCTCTTCCTCCATGCCCTCCTCTTCTTCCTCCTCATCCTCTACCTCGTGTCCCTCGTCCTCTTCCTCCTCGTCCTCTACGTGGGAGGCGGCGGGGGAGGAGCTTCCTGAGCCGGGCTCAGAGCCGTACTCTGCCGGCGCCGGCGCCACCACCTCTGATTGGTTGTCCCCACCGTGGGGGGAGGGGCTCGCCCGTCGCAACTTCTGAAGACAAACAGGAAGTGAGTTTTGATTGGCTGTCAAACTGAAAGGTGATACCAGTACCTTCCTTGTCGCTGACGGCTCGTTCTGTCTCAGGGTTGGACCAGTAGTGTCAGTAGTAATACTATCAGTATGAGTAGTAGTATCAGTAGCAGTACTAT